GGATATCTCCTTATATACCTCAGCTCAATGGTATATTTGAAAAGAGGAATCATACACTGTTAGACATGGTGAAGTCTATGATGAGCTTCGTCGACCTACCCACCTCATTTTGGGGATACGCTCTAGCGACCACAACTTACCTTCTGAATAGAGTTCCAATTAAATTAGTAGTGTCTATACCATATGAGATATGGAAAGGGAAGAAGCTTGATCTTAAGGTTATTAAGATTTGGAGCTACCCTGCTCATGTTAAAAGACACAACCCCGATAAGTTGGAATCGATGATGGAGCCGTGTAAGTTCATAGGATACCCCAAGAAAACTTGTGGGTATTATTTCTATCATCGCGAGGACCAAAAGGTCTTAGTAGTCATGAGAGTAGTGTTCCTTAAGAAGGAACACATTCTTGGCAGAGATAGTGGGAGCGTGATAGAGTTGAGCGAGGTTGGAGAACCTAGCTTAAGTACCACTCCATGGCCCGAGTTTGTTCAAGTACCTAGCATATAAGTTCTGACTTTATGTAGGTCCGACAGAGTATCCAATCCTCCTGATAAATATGTAGAATATATTATATGAGATGATGTTGAGGATATCGATCCTCAGACCTACGAGGAAGCTATTATGAGTATAGACTCCGGGAAGTAGCAAAAAGCCATGAATTTTGATATGGATTTCATATACTCCAATAAGGTTTGAAACCTAGTTGATGCACCCGAGGGTATTATACCCATCAGTTGCAAGTGGATCTTCAAGAAGAAGATCGGAGTAGATGGAAAGGTAGAGACCTATAAAGCAAGGCTAGTGGCTAAGGGGTATCGCCAAAGACAATGTGTTGACTATGACGAAACCTTCTCACTCATAGCCATGCTAAAATATATCCGAATTCTATTGGCTATTGCAGTACACTATGATTATGAGATCTAACAGATAAATGTGAAAATCGTGTTCCTCAATGACAACTTTGAGGAGGAGGTGTATATGATACAGCTTGAGAGATTTTCCAATATGTGTAATCCATCCCTCTTGATTGCTAAAAATTATTGCTATTTCTATCTTATGTGTTATTGTAAATGAGATAATTTTACTCTAAAATCAATTATTATTTAAGAAGTGGGTGAATTAGTGCTATTGTAAACTTTAAGAAACTTTAAAATTTTAATCAAGAAAGGAGATAAGTATTGAAAACTAATTCAACTAAAAATAAACATAAATAAGAAACAAAAAAAAATATAGGTAAATTTATTTATAGTAGTTCAATTATCTTAATCTATATCCCTTCACGATTTCTCTTCACCCACTTATAGTAGGTCATTAGTTTTCACTACTAGTAGTTCAATTATAGTAGGTCATTATAGTAGGTCATTATAGTAGTTCAATTATAGTAGGTCATTAGTTTTCACTACTAATCTTATTTCTAATGGGTAAAGATCAATAATTTTATAATCTTCTTCTTTTCAAAGTTTAGAAGAGAACCTTTATAATTGAGTTAGTAACTCAACTAGAAGCCTAATAAGGTGAGAAAACTCTAATTTGAGTTATAAGAAACTCAAACAAGGCTCTAAAAGAGGATTTTAACATTGAGAAAACTCAAGATACCTTTAATTCATGTCTAAGGTGAGCCATTTATAGCCCCCAAAGAGCCCATGAAATATAAAGTAAATTATGTAAAAGTTTTCTAAATCAAAGGTACTAATGATATTATTATTGTTCTAAGCTGTATGAGACCATCCAAACAACGCTGCATGTCCTATCCATTGCCTTTCAGTACTATCACTTACTCTTTATGGTACCACCACCCAAACACATATTTGGTCAAGGGGCTAATTCTAGCCCATCCTGAGCTTGAATTCAACCCACTTTAATCTCAACCTAATATTGGACAAATTTAGATTAATTCAAGAGTAAATATAACTCAAATTATCTTCAAATAGGATTCAAAACAACTTCTTTCAACACTTTGTTAAAACTTTTGATATATTATCCGATCTTCAAATATTTTGTTCGAACCTCTAATGCATCATCCTATCCTCTAGTACATTATTAATTAACTTTACTATGACATTTGATCTTTCGACAAAATATTCAATCTTTCGACATGATATCTTAACTTTTAGTGCAATGTTTGATTTCTGATGTAATAATCTTTTTGCATAATGTCCGACTCATCAACTAAACATTTGATCCTTTGATTGTCTGAGCCCATGGTGAAAGTATTTTCTACCTCACTTACCATAATATTTATTCACTAATTTTATTAATTAATTTTATTAATTAATTTTATTAATTAATTTTATTATTAAAATCAGAGACATAATACATGAACCTTAGTACTGTTCATACTCCAAGGCTATATTATATGTGTTCTAGAGAATTAATAACATGTAGAATTAACTCTAGTCCACATGAAATCATGAGATAGTTTGATGTGTAATCTATTGAATAGCACATCTAACTATCAATTCATGTTAATATATTCAGCTAAAACATATTGTTTTGACATAAGTTTTAGATATGATCTATCAAATATTCTCAGTAGGATTTAATGATATCCTTTTCTTTTATTTTTTTTTAAATTTCAACCTAACATTTATTTCAAAGTTTGGTTTGAATGTTGAATTTGTTTCTTAATATTGGTCCAATAGAGTTTTCCTTAACCAGAGTTTTATTTTACAAAATGTACCTCTCCACCTTCTGGCATGTCATATCACTAGAAATAATAATTCATGTGAGATAACCAATCTTTGAAAACTTTTTAGTCTCATCTGCCATAGAAGTAGGGTGCTTTTATTTTGATCATTTTTCTAATATCATTATTAACCTCTCTAAGATAAGATGGTGTCTACTATGAGCCAAATGGTCTTAATAGTTTTCATGCATATCCAAATTACATATGTTTCATGATGGTGCAAGTGGTGCACCATGCAATATATGATTTTGCACTTGTTCCAACTCTTAATCTGTCTCAATATGATCTGAGCTATCATCTTGAGTTAGATGTTTGAAATTTTTACCTTCTTATTATATTATTTCTTACCAAAGGAAATCATAATAATAATTAAAAGCAGGCAAAATTTACTGTCAAGTAGTTCATTTCATGTTAAAACACTCGAACTTTTTATTGAGATAATACAAAAGTTCATCTTTTTGTTTATTAGTCAAAAGACTATTACAAGATGGACCATGTCTAACCAACATGGTTGGGCCAAGCTATGAGATAAGACAACCCAAATGGAATGTTTCATATAATAAGAGAATTGGGTGGGAGTGGATAATAAATAAATAAAAGGTTAAAACAAAAAAAGAAAACAAGAAAATCTTATTTATAATAATATTAATTTAATCAAAAAATAAGTATTAAAATTTAATGTGTACTAAGATGATGAAGGAGAAGACCTTTGAGATATCTTTTTCTCACGATCCGAGCTTGATAGGCTAATTAGTCTATCAACTTTATTTGGTTTAAACCACTGACCAAAATGCTTAAGGTGTTACCCTAGCCCAGGGGCTATATCTACAGGTAGCCCTTTCCTACTCGAGCCTCCTCACCATGCCCAAATGCTAGGTGAGCTTTGATACCAAATGTCACAACCCGAGCCTGATGTGTTAACTAGCCTATCAACTTCTTTTGGTCTAAATCACTGATCAAAATGCTTAAGCTGAAGTTGATAGTAATATACTCATCATACCCTTATAAGCCAATCTTAATATTGCTCAATTTCGATGTATTACACCTTCATAAAGAAGTTAGATCGACTTCACGAACAAAGAAAATGAGAGAAAATAAAGATAAGATATAATCTTGGCATCTTTATATAGACCATAAATAAAAAAAATAAAGGAAGAAAATAAAATTATATCAAGGCAATTCAATATATTATATCCAATCATCTATTTTAGAAAATAAGCTTTTAAAATTATATTATAAAATATATATTTTTTTTACATGTTGTTCTTTCTTTCTTGCAAGATAATCTTTCTTTCTTTTTTTGCTTTTTTTGTACATGATGTTCTTCCTTTGCCATAATGATTATTATAATATATATATATATATATATATATTTATTTATTTATATCAACATAGAAGTTGTCATGTGACAATACTAATTGAATATCAATCCAAAGTGACTCTAAGTTAGATTTTTTTTTTCTTTTCATGTATGCAAAATGTGACTTGATTTCCATCCATAAGTCTATTCAAGAGACTCTTTAATTTATATAAAAGTTTCCTTGTTTATTCCTATCCATATTTGTTTACACCTATTTTTTAGATGAGTTGGTTTGTAGTTGTTTTTGAGTTTATTTGTCTTCGTTACCATGTTTTCGAATATATATATATATATATATATATATATATATATATATATATATATATATATATATATATATATATTAATAAATGTATAAAATAGTATAGTTGTTTTTAAAAAATATTAAAAAATATTATAATCCAAGAGAAGTGTTTTGAGTTTATTTGTCTTCGTTACCATGCTTTTGAATAAATAAATAAATATATATATATATAATTTTAATAAATGTATAAAAAATATTATAAAATAGTATAATTGTCTTATAAAAAATATTATAAAATATTATAATCCAAGAGAATGTGTTTTGAGTTTATTTGTCTTCGTTACCATGTTTTTGAATATATATATATATATATATATATATAATATTTTAATAAATGTATAAAAATATTATAAAATGGTATAATTGTCTTTAAAAAATATTATAATATCCGAGAGAGGTGTTTTGAGTAAATAAATAAATAAATAATATTTTAATAAATGTATTAAAAAATATTATAAAAAAATTATAATTGATTGATGGATGAATTGATATTACTGTGATTGAGATGTTTTGGGAATTATGAGAAAATAGAAAGTATGCAACATAACATGAACAAAGGTCATGGGCAAAACAAAGGAGGGTTTTTTCGAAAATTACTAATCGTAGAAAACATATAAATAGAGATTATTATTACCTGAGCCAACCGAACAGAACCAAAGATTCCCTCCCCGCTTCCTCAAGGAAGCAAGAAAAAGAACCCTTCCTCCACAATCTCCGCCTGTGTTGGGACGACAGATCGCTACTCCAAATCCACACAAAACCATTTTATTTGTCTTCGATCCCGCCGATCTGACGTCGGGTTAGGGTTTTCGAGTTCTCGAGGCTTGCTTGCTTGCTTGCGGTCTTGGAGGACTGGATAGGGTTTCAGAGGAGATCGATGGCGACAAGGCGTGAGGACGCGGAGTACGAGAGCGATCCTGAGGACGCGCCGCTCCCCTCGATGCGGCGGAGGGAGGCCAGCGACGACGAGGACGGGATGGCATCCGACGGCGGGGGGAAGCCTGTGAGGAAGGACCCGAGGGCTGGGATCGGATCTGACGGAGAATCGGATGGCCAAGGTGGAGCACAGGTCTACGACGATGAAGCGGATGAGGAGGAAGATGAGATGGAGGAGTACTACGATGAGGAAGAGGAATATGGTGAAATGGATGAGGAATTGGAAATGGAAGATGAAGTCGTGGAAGAGGGAGGACATCGTGCTGCCTCGGTAAAGGAGGAGGGTATTAAGGAAGTACGGCAGTCCCTGGAATATGAGGGCCAGGGAGATGGTGACCGGAGATCCAGTGGGAACGCAATGGAACACCCGGACAAGAATCAGGTGGAAGATGAGGAGGAGAAGAAGAAGGAGAATGAGCCGTATGCTGTGCCCACTGCTGGGGCTTTCTACATGCATGATGACCGATTCCAGGACAATGGCAGGGGACGACGCAGGTTATACCATTTGATTTCTCTTTTCTGCTTTCATAGTGCTAAATGCTAGAAGAGGTGCATGTCGCCTGTCCCTTTAGTTGCTTCAGTTGCTTTGACTCTAATTGGTATTTTATTCTAGTAATCTTCTCTAAATTACTTCTTATATAATATGCACCACATATGAAACCCAGAATAGTAGTCCTTATTTAGACTTCATTTAGTCACGGATTTCATATATTTGAATGAATGGAATATGGATCCTATAGGGGTTGCAATAATTGTAAACTTTAAGTGCCATCTGATCTTTTTTAATGGTTGAGGATGATTTAGTTTGTGGATGATCCTGGTGGCATTCATTATAGCTACTAGTTTTATTTGAAGCAGTTTGTCTGTGTGCAATCACATGCTTGCCAACATTTACACAGATTGCTGAAGTAGCATTCGCAGCTTGTTATGGCAATCCATATTGTACTAGGAGAAAATCAATAAAAATTATAGCTCAGTTATGATCTTGAAAAAAGTTTAGTTATTTAATGTTATGCAAAATTTGTTACTATTTTCTTTCATGTTTATGTTTGCTTATTTATTATTGAACATTGGGTCTTCATTTTCGGTTGTGGCAATTTTTGAGTTTTGAGATCTCTGTACCTCATAAACAAAGCATACCTTTTTTGGAGTCTTTTTTTTGGCAATAACTATGCACTTAATTTTTGTACCTTTCTACCTCTCCTGTTTCGCATTTTTGTATTCTCAAAAAGGAAACAGGTCTTCATCAAGAGCCTTTTGCAACCACTATCTTCTCCTTAGCATTTTTTTTCCCCTTTTATGTTACAGGTATAACACTCGATTTGTCTCCTTATGAAGTATTTCATTATTTGATAAATGTCCAGGCGTATGTTTGGTGGGCGGAAGTTGTGGGATCCTAAGGATGAACGTGCCTGGGTGCATGATAGATTTGAAGAGATGAATCTGCAAGATGCACAATACGATGAGGTATGCTGCAATAGAGTTTTTCTCTGACATAGTAGTAATTTTCATTTCATTCAACCATTTATCATGTAATGCTTTGTGCATTTTGTATTCATGAGTTCTTTATCTGTGCACACATTAAGTGTGAACGATATATACATGTGTCTGGTCCAGGAAAGAATGAGATCCAGGGGCCGTTTTAGAGGTCGAGGTGGTGGCAAAAGTCAGGGTGCTAGTCGTGGTTATGGTAGAGGCAGCAGACATCGCGATTACAGTGATGTTGTCAACAGTCAAAACCGTACCTCGAGGACTGTAAGAGGAAGAGGACCTAGGCGCTATGAAGCTCTTCCAAAGAACAATAGAGACATTCCTGCCAGTCGACAGAAACAGTTAGTGATGGCACTCAGTTTGCTTTATTCTTCATCAAAGTGTCCCTATTGTGGATTTATTGGAAGTGTGATGGTATATTTCTACTTGCATTTCTTTTGTCTAGATCACCTGCAAAACCTCAAGAGCCAACAACGAGTGCTAGTACAAGGAAACAATCCTCTCAAACTGCAAATGTGGAGTTGGACCCTGTTGTTCCTCAAAAGCATTCTTTTGCTTCAAGCCTAAATTCTGCTTCTCCCCCTTTTTACCCTTCTGGATCATCCAATTCCAACCAAGACATCTTGTTGATGCAGAAAAGAGATGCACAAGCTGGAATTATTAACGATAGCCTCTCCTATTCAATGCATACGGAAGAGAATTCTCAGTCATCTCAGTCTAGCACATTGCTGAGAGGAAAGACAGTTGTTGATTCTGTTGGCCATGATAGGTTGTATATGAGCGATTCCCACCGATCAGTTGTTGGAAAAACTTTGGCTAGTGTTCATTTGCAGCCTTCGGGGTTTTATCCATCACCTGATAATGCTGATATTTCATCCAGCTCCAGGGTCCAAGGAACAGGTATTAACACTGCTGGACCACCAAATAATCAATCTGCTTCTGCTGTTAACCATGTTGGAAGAGTTTCTGCACATACCCAGGCTCCAAATGTTCAGCCGAGCCCAGCTCAAACTTCTTTTCAACCTGCTGTACGGGTTCCTGCTCAGCAATTCATCCACCGTTCTGTCAGTGGAAATCAAACTTCATCTTCATCTCCACCTCCAGCAGGAAATTCATCTGAAGTTGGAGATGTTGATTCACCTCCAGGTTCAGGTAAATCCAGAACTTCAGTGGTTGGGAAGGGCAAAATTAACAATCAAGGAACTGGAAGAAGTTCGTTCATTTATAGTGGAGGCCAAGTTCTTGGAGCGACTGGGGCTATGGGCCTTGCCCATGGTGATCAAAACTTCCGCACTCCAGCACTCTTACCAGGTTTAACCAAGTTATATTCTCGTCTTTACTTAATATAACTCTAAACCTTTGCTCCAATCATTTTTTTTTAAATTAGTATTGGTTCTAGCGTTTTGTAATTCGTCTATTTAGGTTCCAATAATAAGCTGTCTTGTTAAACATTGTCTAGGATAATGCGATGTAAACCTTGTTAAGATATATAGAGTTCCATTTGACTGAATTTTGTTGATTATTTCATAGTTATGCAATTTGGAGGCCAGCATCCTAGTGGCCTTGGAGTCCCTGCTGTTGGTATGGCACTTCCTGGATATGTTGCTCAACCGCAGCTTGGTTTTGGGAATTCTGAAATGACATGGTATGATTCTTTTGCTCTTATGTATAAAATATTTGGTCATTTATTTACACTATAGATGTTGATGTTCCTCACTCATCCTTTAGCTTAAGTTGGAGAAGCGGTTTCATGATTTAACTGTTTTCTCAACTAGTGTTGTCAAAAGTGCTAGGCACCAGAAGGTGCCAGTCCCAAAGTACTCGAGGCGCTCGCTCGAGCGAAGCGAGGCGCTCATGAATATTATAATTTTAAAATTATATATCATGATTAATAAAAATAAACAAACCTAAAATAACAGTTCGAAGTTGCATTCATTTAAAGTACCAAACTACATTGTTCATATTTAATAACAAAAATGATACAATAAAAACAAGATTAACATCGAAGATCATTAAAATCTAGTTCATCATCTTTAATCTTATCACCATATTCCTTTTCTTCCTTTTGTAGGTGATTTATATTCCTCTTCTTCCTCCTCTTCCACAATTGCAAGCGATGAGCTTGAGGCTTTTGTATTCATCTTTGCTTCCGTGAGTTGTCTTGTGTATGCCTTTATTTCTCCAACGCTTGAAGCCCTTGCTACATCTTCCCATGTCAAAGTATCATCATCAGAAACAAGATTATCTTCAGCATTTTTCAAATTTGCACCCATTTTCCCCACCAATTATTGATTTGAATCATCTATATACTTCAATAAAATCGGATCAATCGTCTCACGAATTATAACGAGCTTTTAACGCTTGATTATATTTGATGTACACAAGTTTATATAATCATTGATACTCCAACCGATTTCTTTTCTTTGTATGAATCTATCATATACAAATTAAAGATTCATTTAATTACATCAATATATAAAAAAATAAATTAGTTAAATTAAAATGTTCTTATATATTTACATTTCTCGAAAACACTCTAATTTTGCTCGCAACCTATGATGCTACAAGTTAAACCCAGAATTTTCATGGCTAATTGTTGCATATTTGGCCTATTATTTTCAAATAAGCCTCGCCACTCTTGCAAATTTAAATTCAACTATTAATAATAACATATCGGAAAAACTTTCATAATGTTAATCATATGAAATTGCAAATACCTGGAGACTTAGTAGCCCTTGATCGAATTGCCATAGGAATTCCAAACATTCCCTCAGCATTCTTATGTAAGATATGTCATTTATGATCTTGTCTTGAACTTCATTGCTAATAACTAATCTTGCAATGACTCATATAACCCAGATGTAACCTCTGTATCAAACACAATCGAAGGGTTCTTATAAAAGAATTTTTAGTTTAAATAATATCCTACTGCATGTAGTGGATGATGAAGTTGATATTCTCATCTTCTATCAATGATTGCAAAGATATCCTTATTTTTTTTTATTTCCATCAAAAGAGTTTCAAATAGTTTCTTTGTCTCTATCCATAGCCTCAGAGATATATCCCATTGTTAGCCTTTTCTTGTTATCTACGAGCCAAAGAATTCAAACAAGAGGGTCCATCACTTTTAGTGCACAAACCATATGATTCCAAAATGATCGCATCAAGATTATCTCACTTGCCCCCTTGCTTGTTGTATTTTTTGTCCATTTACTAGTAACCCATTTATCGGAGTTAAATATATTTCTAAGATTGTATTTTTGCTTATGAATACTCTACAATGTCAAGAATGAAACGACAAATCTTGTGACACCATACCTCACCAATTCCTTGTTGCTTGTGAATTCTCTCATCATGTTCAAAGCACCGATATGATTATATAGAAAACCTATAACAAGATTGTTTTCTCTAATGTATTCTTGATATTTGTAATATTTTCAATATCCTCTAACATAAGATTGATATAATGTATCGCGCATGGAGTCCTATACAAGTGTGGTCTTTTTGCTTGTAATAATTTTTCTAAAAAATAAAAATAAAATTAATAATTATTTGAAAACATAAAAATAACATAATTAAAATGTTCAAAGAAAAAAATCATACTAGCTATAACATAGTATCTTCCATTGTCTGTTATCACCTAGACCACATTTTGCTCTTTAATTTTCTCAACAAACATATCAAGTAATTCAAATATTTTTACTTCATATTTCATAAAAGAGGATGCATCAATTGATTTAACAAACATTGTTCCCAATAAACAAGTGATGAAAAAATTAATTATGCTTCTTTGTCTTCTATCGGTCCATGTATCTGACATAATTTAACAAACATGTTTTGTCCATGCTCCCTTGTGTCCCTTCATCAAATAATTTGTGTATTCCAACTTATTTTTCAAATGTGGAACTCTTAACTCATGGTAACTAGCAGGCTTCAGCTTAGAACTATGTCTTCCAATTTCTTCAATCATATGCTTAAAATTATCTAAACGAGCTGAATTGAATAGAATAATTGCAATATATTGATGTGTTCTAAATCTTGCTTCCTTGTCACAAGCATCATGTATATTTGTTTGTCTTAATTTGACTCCTTGTTGACTTTGTACTAATGTATTTGGTTCTTGAAACATATATAAATTCATTGGTCCTTTCTTTTGTGGAACTTTTGGCTTCTTAGCAACAATAATTTCTTTTCCTCTTCTATCTGATGCTCTCTTACCACTTTCATTTACCTCTTCCACATCATTAAATTCTTAAACTTCATCATCCTTAGGTAAATATCAATATGATTCAGTCTTTTGGTTTTTTTTCTCGTTCATGGATGCTTCTAACTCAAGTTCCACCTCTGCAGGACATATTTTGTATGCGGATGCATTTTTAGGATTTCTGTCTTGATGTTGTTTGGCACGAAATATACCACCTTTTGTTGTCTTATCGCAAAACATATATATAACCAAGGATTGAAATATCATACCGTATCGGAGTTTCGACATTCGCTCGGTACAGTGCGGTACGGTATTGTATATCGAGCGGTATACCGTTCGGTATATATATATATATATAATTCGGTGACCTCGCTTCCTCTCTCCTAGGTGGGGGCGACGTCGCAGAAAAACGAGGTGACGTCGCCTCAGCGATGTCGCCTCAGCGATGTCGCCTCTATATATATATATATATATAAGTAAAAAAAATCTTATATATATTTGTATATAAAAATAAAAAAAAAATCGGAAACGTTGTCGAGGCGACGCGACGTCGCCTTTTCCCGCTTGGGGAGACGTCGCATATTTATATAATATATATATTATAATATATATTATATATATAATACTGCTCCGTAGTGAGCGGTTCGTGTATCGGTCTGCTGACGGATCGGTACGTATTGCCTGGTATGAACGGTATTATTCGAAATTGTAATCCTTGCATGTAACAACATTAGGATTCTTTGGGTCCTTTAAATAATTGTACTTCCATGCAGGATCCTCTTTGAGTTTCTCACTAATGATTCATTTGTAGTGCTGCCTACTGTAGCCATGATTCAAGATTTTAAAGCTGTAGTGACATTTCAAAACACTAAAAGGTAGCAACAATCTGATTACAAATACTACCAGAAAATTTACATGTTATATTAATTTAAATAGTAACATAGAAGGAGGTGGATGGCTATCGGTGACTGAAAAGATGTTGCCAATGATTGTTGGATAGGGGTGACTCTTGGATAGGGGAAGCTTTGACAGTAGGGTAAGAGGGAAAAGATGCTGCCGGTGATTGTTTGAGTCGGCTGAAGTCCTTGAATCTCTCTTTCAGTTTCATAAAGGGGTCAATCTGGATGAATAGCCCAGTGAATACCTGCTTCCACCAGCTGAAGGGGTATAAGCACTTGACCTAGTTCTTTTTTTTTTCCTATTGATTCAGTCCTATAAGCAATAGCAGGGATGGCAACAGGCCATAGTCGATGAAGTCGTGGGAAGAAAAGGCAGCAATAAACAGATACATGGGTCGCATAGGGAGGGGAAGAGGGAAGAAGCAGCAATAAGGGTAGAGGGAAGAGGGATCGGGGAAGGAGAGCTACGGCAAGGCCGGGCCCCGGGGGGGTGGATGGAGGGCTGTGGTGAACAGGGCAAAGGTAGGAGGGAGGAGAAAGAAAGATATATGCTGGGAGGAGAGGGGAAGAAACCACCACTGTCGCCAGAGGAAGATGTTGCCATTGCCACTAGAGGAAGACATTGCCGTTGTCATTCAAGGAAGACGTTGCTGCCATCATTCGTCAATGCGAGGAAGTTTGCTGTCATGCAAAAACGTAGTGGGAAAGAGACAGTTCAATGTCAGGGCACGACTCGTGCGGGGTGTTGACAGCTTTGCGTTACCTGGTTCAATCGAACCAGTGTGTGATTTGGTTTGACTCAAGCCCAACCTGGCTTGAGTTAAACCAAGTGAGCGCTCGGCCCACCCAGCACTTGGGCCTAGGCGAGCGCCTGGGTCGCGCTTGAGTGAAGTCGCCTGCCTAGCCCAATAGGTGAGTGTTCGGGTCTTGCCATGCCTATACGCCTAGGCCAGCGCCTGGGTGCCCAGTGACTTTACTGTTCTCAACATAAGATTCCTTTCTTTATTTAGTCTATTGGGTTGTTCTTGCTGACTTTTAGGAGATGGCTGGTTATTATTGTTCAATTTGTGGCTATTACTTCTAATCGCGGTGGTATATAGGTGTAGCAACGGTTAATTTGCCTTTTCATTCCTTACTGTCTAGGGATCTGGTTTAACTCATAATTCTTATTTCTATTTTGATGGTCCAGTATGTTGTATTCTAGTTTTCATGAATGCAGCATACTGTGAAATTTCTCAACCTTCCAAATGTTTCATTGTGAAAACTGTGTCAACCAAAGTTCCATTTGATATATTAATCATTTTTGAACTTGTATAGATCTACATCATGTAGGCTATGTTTCTGAGCATGGTGTTTACATTGTGCAGTTACATATCTAATCTTCCCCAACTAACCTGCCAAAGTGTTTATGGTACTATTGCAGCCGAATCAAGTTGACATAGGGCTAAGGTTTTAGTTTCTTTATGCATGATTCCATTTTGTAAATAATTTAAAATTTGGACTCTTTTGTTTCTTTAATGGTGAGAAATAGACTCGGTTTATTTGCGTAATTATTAGCCAGCTCGCTGCCTATTCTCTCTGTGGAATAATCCTAAACAGATTTAAATATTGTTAAAAGAGGAGTTTTACTTGAGAGTGATTTAGAGTGGATACACACAGCTGTCTATCTTCGTGAATATGGCTATTTTTTTACCGAGGATCTGTTTGTGGAGGCATGCTTGCATGATTTTAATGAAAAGATAAACAAGTTTTTTGGCTGCAGATCCTCATCCTTGGTTCTCCTGCATGTTCTTCATTATTATCCTAATTTTCAACTTCTTGATACACTTCTATCTGGTATCTGCTTTAGAAAGTGATATGATATCAATTTTTTATCTACTTAATTAAAAATAGTCAGGCCATTATTTTTTAGTTTTAAGCCCTCCCTATCATTTTGTTACATCTGCAGATAGCAATGCATTACTATCATAAAGCACGAGATTTAGTAAATTATAGTTAGATACATACATTATATATATGGAGTGAAGCTAGGAACACTCAACTAGTTGAAGGATTACATTAAGCACAAGATCTGGTAAACATAGTTAAAATTACATGTGTATATGTATGGATAAACTTATTGAACCCTTGTGTGTTGTGCTTGAGATCGATGATCTAGTTCCTAGACCAATACTACCAAACTTGACATATCATTTCTGGAGTACCAGAAAAAAAAAAATTGTTATTATGATCTCCATGTCATATCATTCATCATGTGGTCAAGGATAAACAGATCTAGCTTTGAAATACAATGATAAGCTTGATTTATGGTCAAACATGTGTCCACATAAAATTCTATGATGCTTAGTTGGGGATCAGTGTGTTTGTTTACAAATTACATGGCCTACATAGTCTTAGGTAAACTAATTCTGTCTACATTATGTTTTGTTTTCCTAGATGCATTGTCAAGTAATCATCTGGACTTTGTTTATAAAGATTTAGGTACATATCTTCTGTTCAATGTTATTGGCTTTTCTTTCAAGTGATCCAGTCTTTATGTGATAGAATAGTGCAATTAGTTACTACTTGCACACTAGAGATGTGTAGTATGCTATGTCCATGTATTAGTTGTTGTTATGTCATGGTCATGACAAATATCAATTTGGATCAATTATGAGCATTGACATATTTATATCGAACTTCAGTGATCATTGTTTTGTAGTTCAGTATGTACAAAATGGTACATTAGGTTAATCATGAATATTTTTGTGTATGATATATTTACTACATGATTCTTGTTACCACATTTTTTCTGAAATTTCCTTTTGATATGATCACTAGGGTGCCAGTATTGGCGGGTATGCCTGGGGCTCTAGGGGCATCTTATTGTCCACCCTACCTTGCTCTTGATGGAAACTATTATCGTCCTTCAGGACAGAACTCATCATCAGCTTCCTCCAAGTAAGAATGTAGTTATTATAGCTTTCTGTGAAAGAAAATTTTCTTCTGTTTGTCTCAAGACTCTCAATTGTTTCAGTGTGCTCTATATTCTGTTGTTTTCATGATGAGATGAATCTTGACCATGTTACAGTTGGTTTCTTCTAGAGAAAGAATTTTGCTAAGCAGGTAGAGGTGTCTCATAAATTACTGGAAGCTGAGGAAGGTATTTGTCATTTCATAAGACAAGGTAATTGTAGAAGAGGATTCCTTAGTTTTATAAAATTGAAAAGGACAAATAGAAAAAGGACATCAATTAGATTGATCTTTGTGTAGACCCCTGGGAAAAAGTGAGGCTTATGAGATCAACAAGAGGTGTAGATATGGAAATTTAGGAAAATTGATTTTGGTTCAACCGAAAGAGGTGTTGGCTCTTTTGGAAGAGATGGTTGGCTTGGCTTGAAACAAGGTAGCAATACCAAGTGGAGTTTGGTATGTTTTCTGACGTGAAATAAGAATAAAAATGTCTGCTTGCTTGAATTATGATGGTGCATTTATTATTATTTGTATAAATCAATGCTTGTTTTAGCTTCTGAAGGATAAAGATACTAATGTACATAAGGCTTCTGTATCAGTGAGGCAGTACTTATTGAAGAAGCAATACATGTTGATCCCAGTTATGTTAGAACTTCTGTGCCTTAACATGTTGGTATCTGGAAATGGAATTGATTATTTTATGTACAATATATGTGACAACATGTTCATCACGTGCAACATATACAATACATGTGAGCATTATATCGGATGGAAGCATCTAATGACTGATTATGATGCTTGGGTGACAATAGACTCTAGTATAGCATATTTATATCCATCTATTTCTGAACCTTTATGATATAACTCGGAAGGTTGTATTCAATGCAAGGGTGTGCATTGCAAGTGGTTGATCAGTAGAATGTACCAAAAACATTCATTCATTGTTTAATTCTCACTATACATCATATGCTGATAAGATATAAGTTTTGACTATGCATTTTTATTGTATTAGTAACATGGTTACACCATGATGATACTATAAGTATTGGCATCATCATATTTCTTTTGATTTTGTGATAACTAAGCATATCAATAAAGTTAGAAGCTTATATTTTGTGTAAACAATGAAGCTACAAAGTCATCAATAATGACTTAATGAAAGAGTTTTTTTTTCCTCACAGATCTCTTGTATTAGTATCTGCTCAATATATCCAAGACTTGAGACATTACTTATTCCCTTTCTAACTTAGCATAGGTGTGGCTATTTGAAAGCTTCTTCGAACAAACATAAATGCATAGATCTGATCTTACCAGTTGTTCAAGAAACTACTCTTAAGCGTCTCTCCTGTGAATTGCTATGCCCATGATGCTTTTGGAGATTAGTTAAATGTGCAATTCTTGTTTTATCTTCTATTGGTGATTGTACCTACTGGGCACCTTGGTTTTGTAGCTTATTGTGATACTTCAGCAACCTAATTGGTCATTCCTTTGATGCAGAGAAACCACCACAAGCAAACCTGGTACTCATATGTCTCAATCTGGTAGACTCTATCAGCACATGCATCTTTTTTGTGTTTAAACTTTAAAAGATGATTGATGTAGTCTCTTGTGCTGTTATATTATGTTGAAGGAATTGATTCTCTTTATCTCGCAGATCCTGTAATTGATGAAGCTGGGCGGCGCCAGAATAAGCCTCGTAGGCAAGTCAAAGTCTTGTTTCATCACATTTAATGCCCTTTTGTCATCATATATTCTGATTTTATGGTTACCTCAGCAGATATTCTGAGATGAACTTTGGCCAGTGAGCAGACATTTCGTCTAGCATTTTGGAATAAGCAGGTTAAGGTCAGTGTGACAGATGCTTATCTGCTAATGAGGGCCTTGCTTGACCGGCCTTAAATAATCTGTGATGCATATTTATTCTGCAGGCCTTTATTCAAGCCCTCTGTGATCTTCAGCTTCTGATCTGGAGCACTATGGGCTGATTATTGTCTCAAGATCGATTAGGTAATTTTTTCTTGAGTCATCAAGCACGTGAAGTTTCTGCTACTGACCACTTAATATTGATCAAGTTTTCTGAGTCACACAATCATGCTCTAACTTTGCTTTTCTTCATTGAACATGTTATTGAGGTTTGCATGAATGCAATTACCATGTACTTTGCCAATGGTAGAAGCTATTAGCTTCTGTTTGTTTAGATATGTTAGCTGTTTCGCTAGTCGCTTCAAATGCAAGATAGAGAATAGGAATCATTCTAGGTCTGGGATGGAATTCAAAAAAATATTTCTGAAAATTAATATTTTATAAAGAAAATTGCAAATGAATGAGAAAAGAAGCAAAATCCTATCTACTAAAGATTTTTTTATGCAGTCATAGTTTTATGCAGGGATTAATTACAGAAGTAAGCATTTTTATTGGCAGGAGTATTTCAGTGTTTAGGATAATGTTGATGTGAGAAAAGAGGTTAAAGCAGCCGTTAAGAGACGTAGTTGTTTTATCAATGATGCGCTCCCATTTTTATTTGCTTGCCATAACTTTGTTGCATTGACTTCTTAAATTTTATCAAGCATCATTTGTTAATCTTTGGTAAGGCATTAATCCAGGCATTCTTATGGCAGTATTAAGTGCATCATTCTCTGATTTTCCTGTTTAAGCCACATAAGTTGTATCAAGTTATGGAAGTAACAAACCAAACACAGATTTTAAGAATACTTGTCATATTAGTGTTGAACACTTGTATTTGATCTCAAACTTGTTCTATGTATATTAGGCTAGGTTCATCGGGGATAGCCCAAAAAATTGTTGTCATTAACCCAAGATATATTTATGTTGGTTAAATAAAGGACATGTTCCTTGCAATGCCTTTTTCAAGACTTTCCATATAAGCCAAACTATTTTATTTTTACAATTTTTAGAAACCACATTTTTACCACTTCACATTATCGATATCTTGTGATCCCTTCTCTTCACTCTAGCACACAAACTGCTGGCAAAATTTCTGAATCCCCATCTCTTTCCTTGATCCTTTTTCATGGGAGGTCTTCTGGACCTTTCATCAGATCGCTTGCAAGTTGAACCTTTGCTTCGGCTTTAAAGTGATCCCTTCTCTTCACTCTAGCACAGAAACCACTAGTAAATTTTTTGAATCCCCATCTCTTTCCTTGATTCTTTTTTGTGGGAGCTCTTCTGGACCTTTCATCAGATCCCTTGCGAGTTGAACCTTCGCTTCGGCTTTAAAGCTCTGATTGCACCTCTGAGGCTAATCATCTCACACACTCACTTGAGTGCCCATTGGGACAAAATTTATCCTCTTTGTCCTCAAGCGATGCTTTCACGAGTTAACCGAAAGTGTTTTGTCTTTTTTTCCCCTTTCCTTTTTAGCAGATACATCAAATGTATATTCAAATGTGTCCCTCTATTTCTGATGCCTACCCATATTGGATGTGTCTGACATGGTGGGACATTAATTTCACATGATATGTGCTTCATAGTTCAGAAAATTTATGTATCTGTATCGGTGACATTTACTTATGTAAAGTTATGGTTTATTTGTCAAAGATGAGGTATATATGGTATGGGATGATTTCAAGGGGCCTATAGGTGACTTGGTTAGTCATTGTAAGTTCTCGACTAATGGTGCAAGAAGAGATAGCAAGTGACATAAGAAAAACTCTACGAGAAACATTTAAGAGGCATCTGACTTATTTGAAGTAGAGGTTTTGTCCTATGCAGAGCTCAATGATGGGGGGAGAAAAATCTACGTAATCGACTCCAAATAGTTGTAATGTCAAGGTTTGTTATATGATGTATATTGTCCAACATATTGTACATTGTTGTGCATATTATCTTCATTAGACCCTTGGCCGGGTTAAATATTAACAATTTGGTATTTTGGGCCTCTCCAGTTCTGTGGATGTGAGATGCTTGATGTGTATATGGAATCAGTGTCATCATGAACTTTTGTTATTAAAGAGTGGTTCTTATGCTTGTTTACATATATGATGATCATTAATTGTTTAAATCATGTGCAAAGATTCTTACTAAAAATTCATGACGGTACAATTCAATTATGCTTACTGATTTCTGTGTCTATTTCATGTGATATAATGCATTTCCAAGACTTTGTGCTTGTCTGTTGCAAAGGTATCATCTCTACCTCTGTGCCTCGCATGAAGCTAACTGACTTGACCTCATAAGGTTTGTCAAGTGAACATTTTAGGTTTTGTATGTCCATCAAACTACCTTTTATCATGTTAGTTGTTTGTGGTTTGAATTGACCTTATGCAGATTTCTTATGGAATGCTATTTGAGGAAGTTGAACTGATGCTATGGGTTCAGGAGTTTTGACTGTTGTACAACTTGCTTAGCTCTTGTGTCCTTATTTTATCACCTAGCATTAGAAAATTCTATTGATGGATGTATTTATCTCCGAAAGTGGATTTTTTGTTACTTGCTAAACTGCTATTGTCACTCATATTTCATCTCTGTTATTTGATTATTCTTTTAGTTGATGAATTCTACACTGTGACTGCAATATACACACACTTTTATTTCTCACACAAATGAATAATAAATGGAACAAAGAGATGATATAAAAGACATTTTTGTTATGCAAAGATGGAAATATCTCTGCTTTTGGAAATATCACCATTTGGTCCTTTGACAAAGTGCCCATGTTAATATTTAATCAGTGTTCACTGCATTTACTTGGGTAATTAAGGGTGACTTTTTATCTTTCTTTTTAATTTATCTATTGTTTCCTTGCATGATCCTACCTACGCTGGCCAATTGTTTCGTTTCTTGGATTATGCAAGCAGAAGTAAGTTTTATGGTAAGACATGACTGTTTCAATTGTAATCTCTGCAGCTATGTATCACCTGCGCTTGCTGTTATGGTGTGTGAGTAAGACCGTTGGCAGCAGGGCCGATGGCATTCTTGTGTTTGAAACTGTGGTGAGACAATTCTGCTGTGAAAGGTTCTGTATTTGGTTGGTCTCACTCACTACTATGATTCGGCTGATATGGTTCCTTCTCTGGCTGCAGGTTTCTTTTTTTTTCTTTGGCTAAGACGTGGTGGAAGCACGTCGGAAATGGTAGCGAGCTTATTATTTTGTGATAGATAGATAGATAGATAGATAGATAGATAGATCTGCAGTTGATGTTTTTGACCTTCCCCGAGTGTGATTTCCCGTCCAAGTGTTTTTCGTCCGGTTGGGTCTGGACCGGACTGTGTGTGCCCCTTTGGAGTCAAAGAAAAAGAAAAACACGCTTTGACCTGCCGTATCCTATATTCTTAATATGACTACTTGTGTTCGATTGAAGAATTTGGCTTTCGGCTTTTGTGCTTTTATCGTCTTTTGCTCGCCACCCTTATTTGCGTGGACTTTGGGTTTATGCTCTGCTCCTCTGTGTGATGAATAGTTATAAATCCTTTTGAATATATAAATACAAACCCAAACCCTTATAGTGCCGGTGCTTAGAGCAAGTACTTGAGTGGAATCCAATTATTAACTGGATTCTTCGTGGAATGAATGGGGTCAAGAGATCTGTCGTTGATGGCTGGATTACAACAACTTGGATTTTCATGATGATATCGGGAGGAGAAGAAATCCAATTAGCAGCGGATGGTGATAACTAAGTCAGGCGCACATGCTTAAAAAGATGGGAGGGGAATGTGTGACCACGGCCAGTGGGTTTGGCCACAAGTAAAGCACCCAATACTAGTGGGTTGTTGGAGCGCTCTCTTTTCCGCCGCTAAAGTTTCGATTTTTTTACCGGAAAGCGAAGCCGCCGCAGAGTCCAAATAGGTTTGGTTTGGTTTGGTTGGGTTCGATCCCCAAAAGAGAGAACTTTGTGGACTGGATGAGACTTCCTCCAATTAATAATAATATATTTCTGCGTTCGCATCGCGTGACTGTTCGGCGCGTTGCATGATCGGCAGCATCAGCACTACACCAGCCACCACATTCAGTCATTTTCTCTCTCTCTCTCTCTCTCTCTCCATATATATATATATATATATATATATATATATATATATATATAACATTATTATGGAGGAGCCCCCTACAGCCTCTTCTAGAGAAGCACTATATGTGCTCCATTATTATTGGCGTTTTGAGCTTTCGGTCGAGCCTGTTGAAATGTATGGTAGAGATAGTCATACTTGGACCAACTACGTTGCCGGTGCGTCACACCACACTGCAGCAGAACACTACTTTTCTAGAGGATATAGTTGCATCAAAGTGCATCCACATCGATGCCATAAGAACACTTCTTATATATATATATA